GAAGCTATATCCCTGTCTGATGACATAGATGCATTATAACAAGGTCGGCATATCTTTTTCAGAATGTCCACCTGTAAGAAGTAAACTCCTAGTTTTCAGTTCAGTCAACTTCAGGAAGTGGAGTTATTTATATTGAAAACAAAATTATTTTTGATACTTTCACTCTTTTCATAATAAAACTGATTACCCCTTCATAATAATAATTGTGAAAAGAAACACAGTAAAATAGGTAAAGAACACATTTGCTGTTTTTATTGGTGCCTTGCATGGCAGTAATACTGAAAAAAGAGAATGCAAAAACAAAAAAACAAAAAACAGGTTGGTGGCAACCCACATCTTTTTTTTTTTAAGAGTACATAAACTCCTGTTTTATTTTTATTGTGGCATGAATGATAACATAAAACCAAAAACATGAAAATATACAACTTATATTACACTATGTGTTATGAACAAAATATAAATCTATAACTCTATGTTATATTTACATAATTATTTATTTTATTAAATTTCAAGTGAGATGGTAGGTTGCACATACTTTGTTTTAAGCTCCAGGCATTTGATTGTCTCTTTTCTACTTTTAAAAACAATTTTTACTCATAAAATCCAAAATGTTAGAAGGACTAAGAGCTTTAGAGCCAGTGGAGCTATATAAATACTGTTATAGTGAACCAGTGACAGATACACTGGGGAGGACAGGAATCAATCAGTAGAAAACTCAACACAACATCATCTTCAACCTGGGAAACTGAGAGTTATAGGAAATTTTAAAATTAAATACTGTAAAAGCCTGTCTAAACGAAAACCTACACCCTATAAGACAAAGAGATATCTGAACCACTTTTAGTGGGCTTCATATTTTTCCTTGCAGACCCCATAGTTTTTTACTATTCACTTGATAAACAAATCTCTTATAAACCTGTTTGTAAATATACAGCTGTTTATTACAATTCAATAATTTACCTATTAGAATGACTGAAAATTAATTATTTCTGACGTTTAAAACTGATCTAAGAGCTTTCTTCTGGAACAGTAACAACTTCTGGACTAAGAAAATATCTGAAATTGGACCATGAAATACTTAAAGATAATGATCTTTAAATGAATTAAGGTAAAAGTTTACTCCAGAAATCAAACCTATGACATAATTTCACCAAAAAGACCCTTGTATTTGTTCCTTATAAGATGATTTGGTTTCAATAATGATTATGTTCTTTGGGAGGGATTTTACACATGGTTACCTCTAAACTGCAGTTGCCAAATAAATGTTAAAAATTGACGTAACTAATTTAGGTATAAGTGTACTGAAGAGTACTTTTGTATTTTATCCAATTGTAGTAGGTAGCCAAATTGTTAGCAACTTGTAAACGAGCAACTTTAACTTATTTTTCTTCAGTAATGTTCTTTTAGATCCATATTAAAACATGACTATTTTCAGAGGAACTGATTACAACAGCCATAAAAAAATAGAATTTTGGCAGGATTATTCCTCTGTACTGGGGTGTGTGTGTGTGTGTGTGTGTGTGTGTGTGTGTGTGTGTGTGAGAGAGAGAGAGAGAGAGAGAGAGAGAGAGAGAGAGAGAGAGAGAGAGAGAAAGAGAGAGAGAGAGAGAGAGAAGGGGGGGGTTAAATGGGGAGAAAGGGAAAGAAAGTAGAGGGGAGGGAGATTATGTTCATTTTAGTTTAATCTTTCATTTTCTCTACCTTATCTTTTTGATCATCCTGGGGCACAGAAAAAGAATACAAGGTTTTAAGATCCTCTAAAAAAAGTTATAAACCAATCAAATGCCAGAAAGGCAATGTGTTAACACAGTATGTTGCTATTCATAGCACCTTTATCAAATGACTTCAAAGCACTTTAAACATTAATGTAATTTTTTTGTTTCTTTTGGGGAAAATGAAGGCAAAGAAATGGTAACACCAGTGAGTTAGATGTCAGAACAAGAGAATATAATGTAGGGCCATGAATTTGCTTTTGTTTCAATCATGCACAGTTTAGTCTTCATGACATAAATGAAACTAAAGTTAACTGAATTTCAGCAGTTAAAGGTCACCATTAACAATTTTCTTTTCCCTTTTAAATAAAACAAAATAAAAAAAAACAAACATAAAAAGACCAAACAGAAGTGTTTTGTCAATTTACTAGTATGTGTGTTAGAATTGGTTTCAGCCTTGAATGCCATCAAGTGGCAGCTACCTGGAGCTAAAACAAAGTATTTTTGTAGCCCGAAGTCATGAAATGAAAACCAAGTACTTGTATAACACGGGGAAAAATAAGTATCCAGCAAATGTGAGACGTGAACCCACATAAATCAGAGAGAATTTCTTAATGAAGACAGAGAACAAATTTTTAAAAATCTGTTTTCACATTGTACAAAATAACGATATAAAAACAAGTGTCTATTTTTTTCTTATCCAGAGTGCTTGAAAACAAAATGGAACAAACAAAAACAAAAACAAAAAAATTGGCTCTAGATGACTGTGGTAATTAAATAACTAAAATGACTGATGAGAGCATAAGTTAATTAAGATGGAATGTGACCCTCCTATTAATTCATTCCTTTGTATTAAACACCAGAACTTGACATTATTGGGGCCAGATTTTTTTTTTTAAGGGAGAAAACTTATGTAAGGAACAGTAAAATTATCTGGGTAAAGTGTGTGTGTGTGTGTGTGTGTGTGTGTGTGTGTATGAAAATTCATTTTAAATATCTAACAGCTTATTGGCTGCACTTCCAAATCAGAGCAGAATAAAATAGAAAGGGAGAAATAAATTATACATAACTTACTAATCTGGGAACAGCTGACCATTATTATTATTATTATTACTATTATTATTTTTTATCATCATCATCATCATCATTATTACAACACTAGCAAAAAGAGGCAGTTCAAATGAAAATACAGTCATCAAAAACAAACAGAAAAACAAACAAAACAAAATCTCTGACATGCAGGATATGATCAGCCCCTCCAAGCAAAACCCCAGAGCAAGTCTTTTGAGAGAGAGAAAAATAAAAAAGGACTTTTTTTTCCCTTACTTATATGTAAAAATCAAATTGTAGGGTGGGGTTGGGGGGTGGGGTGGGACAGGAAAGCGATGGCTGGAGTTAAAATCACGGGCACTTCCAAACTACTGGTTGGAATATTTACTGTTTGATGCTTCTGCCCAAATAACGGCATCTGACTTCCAATGAGTTGGCATTTTTTTGTGCAAGGCCTGCAGTGCCTTAGCATCTGGCTGGCAAAACTGAAACCAGCAGTCCCGTCAGCGTCCACTGTTGCTCTATCACACTCTCCGCTGGAACCTCAACTTGGACTCCAGTGGCTTCCTCTGACTGGGAAGCACAGTGGCAAGGGTCTGCCGGGTTCAGCCAGGCTCCATTGCGTTGGGCTGTGATGACTTTTAATAAAATCCTGCTTTTTGTGTGAGATGCGCGTGGCCCACAATTCTGAAATGCAAATGGCCTCCACCACGTGTCATGGAGAGATGAAAGATACCTTATGAAAATCATCAGTTCCATGTCCTCAACAGGAGAGGATGGAATTTCAAAGAAAGAAGCTAATTCTCTATTTCTGGAACATGGGCAAATGTATTCAAGGAAAACAGCAATTGCTTTTGCTTGATGTTATCAACAGGAAAAACAAACAGAAATCATTAAGTAGCAAACATTAGTGAAACCAACTGACCAGGGAGAAGGGACTTCTGGGAGCAGTTTGCTAGTAGCTTCCATATTATACATGCACACGTCTATTACACAGGGCCACCTGATTCATCCAATAGTCGTTAAATTAGACATTTAAAAATATAATTTCTGAGCCCTATATTGGTTAAGTTGTCATTTGAAGTGCAAAGTCAAGGTCAAGGTTGCTTCCAGACCAGTCACTTAGGAGGATGTGGGATTTCATCCCCAGGTGTGGGTTTAACTCACAATGGTCCAACGTTATTCCTATTAGTACCATAATCACACACATACATACACACAAAAATCCAAGATCAGAAAATATTTTTCTCTAAATTTCTTCTCTCTCTCTCACTCTCTCTCTCTCTTCCTCTCTCTCTTTTTTTTCACCTGAGAACAGCACCTACAGTTTCCATTAAAAAAAAAAAAAAAGTCAAATCTCACCAGCTGCTGGTATTTTAGGTTTTTCAAGGGATTGTCTAAGATATAACACTGTCCTAACTTAAGAAGGAACAGGAAAAAGAAAAAGGAAAGAAATGAACTGGGTCAACACGTCAGTATAAATTTGGCACTTGCTCAAAGATGTAGTGTGGTGTGCAATAAAGTCCTCTAAAGACAATACATAATTGCTTATTTTGTGATGGATAGCAAGGAAGTTCAAAACAGGCTTTTCCCCCCTTCCCCCCCATGCACAGACTTCCATCTTTAAAATATAGAGATGGAGAAGGTGGAAAGAAGTAAAGAGAAATTCATCTTTCTTTTTTTCTGTCAGGTGCATTACAAAAAACAAAACAAAACAAAACAAAAAAAACCCCAGAAAAGTAAGGAGAGGAGGAAAGGAAAAAGGAAAACCCCAGAAACCCCCCCAAACAAAACAAAACTTATTTCTTTTTAAAAATTGTAGCACAAAACAACAAAACACATTCACAAGCCACTTGTTGGCACTGTGTACCTGAGTGAGAATTTCTAGAACATTGTAGAACAAACAGCCATAAAGTTTATTAAAAAAAAAAAAGTTGACGGGTAAGACTTCAGTGCTTGGATGTAGCAGCTGAATTACTGGCATTATTTTACCCATAGCTTATTTCAATCTCTTTGTTGTTGATATTGTTGTTTGCTTGTTGTATATATATATATTTTTTTTCCTTTCCAAGCCTTTTGAGGCTGAGGTCTATTAGTCAGCTGATGTCCCAACTATTTAAGACTAACAGTTAAAGTAACAGTCAGTGTATGAGAAAGTTAATGTGCTTGGCCACTGGTAAGGATGAACCAGCTAGGGCTTCTTTAAGTCCTAAAGTCACGGCAATCTTTTGACCCTTATCAGTTGGCTTGTCCTGCGATATGGTTTTCACTGTCACTCCCATAATCTACGTCTGGATCATCCTCTTCCTCGTCGTATTCATCATAAATCTCTCCGTTGATGTCCTCGGCCTGTATCTCTTCTTTGATATGTGGCTCCTCTCCTTTCACGCCGTAAGTGCTCTGGATGACGGGCATGCCCGGCTCGGGGCTGCTGGACACGCTTGAGTGCTCGGAGGGCAGGTGAGGGGAGGGCATCCCAGCCATGGTGATGGCTCCAGGGTACACAACACCAGCAGTAGCGATGGGGATCTGTGTTTGTTGCCTGTCAAAGAGAAACGTCCCAAAAGAGATCGTGGTGAGTGAGTAGTTAAAGGGGGGCCTTGCTATATATAATTAATTTTCTCAGTTTGTCCAACACTAAGGCAGTGAGTTTCATCCTATGGCCCAACATGTAAAAGTTGTATCCTACTTTAATTCTAATGCCTTACTTCCATGTAGTTCTTTACAGATTATAAGACATATGTGTTACCCGTTACATGTTTTAAGAAAAATTCTGTTTTGTTACTACTCTCTTTCATGAAAAAATTGAGATGCAGAAAGATTAAGCAAAAGAACCCAAGTCCTTAACCCCTAGTTCATTTCTCCTTCATTTCAGCATGCAGAAAAAATTTAAAAAACAATTACAATTCAATTTTAATGGAAAAAATCCCAAAGTATTAGAGCTCTGAAAGTAATTGATTTCCAGAACTGACCAGAACTGAATAATATCACATTCCACTTAGTCCCTGACATAGTTTTAGATGAGGGTAGGAAACAGGGCCAGTCTTATGGGAGGACAATCTCTGAAACTACACAGGCCTCAGAGCTTAGAAATATTCTATCCTTGTTTTAAAGGTCTGTTGGCACAGTTTTAAAATTCTTAATAAATTTTTAACTTAAATTCTTTATTGTTTAAAGTATTACATAAGTCTCCTTTTCCCCCCAGGTTGAGGGGGGGAGGCAGTTAGGGGCAACCAGACTGGCGGGGCGGGAAGTACAGTTGGGGGCAACCAGGTTAGCAGGGGAGGCAGTTAGGGGTGATTAGGCTGGCAGGGGGGTTACCAGGCCAGTGGGGGAGGGAGGGAGTTAGGGGCAACAAGGCTGGAAGAGGGGGCAGTTTGGGATGACCAGGCTGACAAGGAAGGCAGTAAGGGGTGACCAGGCCAGTGGGGGTGGGAAGTTAGGAGCAACTAGGCTGGCAGGAAGGAGGCAGCTGGGGACGACCAGGCTGGCAGGCAGGAAGAGGAGCAATTAGGAGCCAGTGGTTCAGGATTGTGAGAGGGTTGTCTGACTGCCGGTTTAGGCCCGATCTCTGGGATCAGGCCTAAACCAGCAGATGGACATCCCCCAAGGGGCCCTGCATTGGAGAGGTGCAGGCTGGGTTGAGAGGAACTCCCCCCCCACACACACTTCCCAGTGCACAAATTTTGTGCACTGGGCCTTTAGTTCTTAAAATTTTTTTAACAGGAACCCTGTATTTTCATTTTACCATGGGAGCTACAAATTATGGGCTAGTCCTAGTAAAAAGGGATTAATAAATGGTGTTCATTCATGCATTCTTTCGTTCATTCATACGTTCATTTGTTCACTACTTCTCCAAGGACTGTTGAGTTTCATCTCAGCTTTGCAAAGAGCCATGCACTGGTGTATAAACCATAGAACCCAAACAGAGCATGATGATCCTTTCATCATGAATGGAGGGAGTGGGGGCAGATTTGAAAAGGTTTTTTCTAAGGTATCCTCTGACCATTTTTCATTACAGTATTTATTCTAAAAAGCTCTTGGGATCTTACTTATTTCTGTTCCAAATGCGAGCAATTTTATTTCTATATTTTTTGAGAAAATTCTGCATAAGTGATGCAGTTTCAGGTAGAATATTATGGGGTGCTCCCCCTAAAAAGGCAGGAAAAAATAAAACATCCCGAGAGCTGCATTTTAAAAAATTGTTGACTAGACCGACCACTGTGGCTCATTGTTGAGAATTGACCTATAAACCAGGAGGTCACAGTTTGATTTCTGGTCAAGGAACATGCCTGGGTTGTGGGCTTGATCCCAGGTGGGGGGCATGCAGGAGCCAGCCAATCAATGATTCTCTCTCATCACTGATGTTTCTCTCTCTCTCTCTCTCTCTCTCTCTCTCTCTCTCTCTCTCTCTCTCTCTCCCTCTTCCTCTCTGAAATCAATATTTTTTTAATTGTTGACTCTATTACAGATGCCCCCAGTTTCCTCCCCCTTTGCCTCACCCTCCTCAAGGCCTTTACCATATTACTGTCTGTGTGCATGGGTTATGAGAGCTGCATTCTTCATATATACTGATTTCAGAGAAAGGGAGAGGGAGAGAGCAAAACATCAATGAGGGAGAAACATCCACCAGCTGCCTTCTACACACCCCACTCCTGAGGATAAAGCACCCCACTCCTGAGGAAACCTGAGTATGTGCCCTGCCCAGGAACAGAGCCAGTGACCTCCCTGTGCATGGAAGGACGCTCAACCACCTAAGCCACACAGACCAGGCAAGAGCTGCATTCTTAATTCAGAAGAGAACGTTCTCACACCTGCTTGTGCCCTAAAATATTATAGAGTTTCTAATTTGTGTGCCCTACAAAGATCCCCTATGTGCTTTGATCACCCAGAAACCCCTCTAAGCCCAGAAACCGGTATTTCTTTCTTTCCAGATCATTTTTATGTCGTATACCTCTCAACCACATTGTTAGTTGTGGTGGCCTTTATCTTTGTGAAGCCTTGGAAGTAATGAAAACCAACAAGGAAAAGAACTAGCTAAACTTCTGAGTTTTGAAGAGCAAACTTCAAAATCATTCACTTTTGTCAGAACCAGTTTGGCTCAGTGGATAGAGCATTGGCCTGCGGACTGAAGGGTCCCAGGTTTGATTACGGTCAAGGGCATGTACATTGGTTGGGGGCACATCCCCGGTAGGAGGTGTGCAGGAGGCAGCTGGCCAATGTTTCTCTCTCATAGATGTTTCTAGCTCTCTATCCCTCTCTCTTCCTCCCTATATAAAATCAATAAAAATATTTAAAAAATAATATTAAAAAAAACATTTACTTTTGGATATTTAGATTTTCAAACCAGCCATTTACAAAGCTCAAGTGACAGCTATTGTTCAGGGGCTCGGAGTGCATTGACATGGTGGGATTCTCTTCCAGGATTATGTGGAGGCAGAATTAATTCTCTGAAAAGACACTGTGTTCAGGTTCTTTTTCAACACCCTGCTTTGCCAGCTACACAAGTATGTTTCCCATCCCACTCAATAAGAGTGTTTTCTAGGAAAACACCACGGAGTGGTCCATACCCAACGTTGAAGTATTGCCGCATCTCCTGCCGCCGGTTCCGCATGATGGCCTTGTACTCCCCGATGCGCAGCTTCTTGCCGTCCACGAGGCAGGTGCGCTTGGGCCTGGGCTTGTACTTGTAGTCGGGGTACTTCTCCAGGTGCTGCTTGCTGAGCCGGGCTTGCTCCTCATAATATGGCTGTTTCTCTAGGTTTGTCATAGCTTTCCAGCGAGACCCTGTGGGGAAAAGAAGGTTAGAATTCCAGTTTGCACAGCTGCCGAGCATCCTCAAAAGATAACACCTGAGAACGAGAACATCTGAAGTAAAAATGTTGGTCCAAACCCAGAAGTACATGATTATGTTTTTGATTCGTGGGCTTTGACTCAAGAGATGAGATTCCGTCAGGATGGAGGTGTTAGGGGTTCTGTCCTCAGAGAAACTGTGCACCCAAAGGTATGAACGCTGGGCAATCGATGTATTTTTCCTGGCACGAATGAATAAGGTAGCCAAACTGGCCTGGTATATATTTCACAGCTTATAGGTAATTTAATGGGTATATCTTTCATTCATACATTAGACCATGATAGAATTCAAGTGTGAACTAAAAAGTTATGCAAAAACTCATTACATATTTTGAATCTAAGGTTAATTATCTAGTGTTGAATATTTTTATGTAGGGGTATATTACTACAAAGGTTTCTAATGTATATCCTAAGTAATAAAGATGTAATATGCAAATGGTAGTTACGCTGTGAAGCATAAAGACCGACTGAGTATTGACCAGATCTCAGTTCAGCAGGAGGGTGAGGCAGTGAGCTATAAGCAGGAAGCTGAGAGCTAAGGAGGAGGCAGGGCAGCAAGCTGTAGGGAGAGGGGGAAGGGAGGGAGGGCAGAGGGAGCTACAGGAGGGCAGCAGCGAACTATTGGTGAGCTACTGGCACACGGATTAGTGCACAGAGCTACTAATCATATATAATTGTCCTTTTCTCAAAATGTTTATGTATATTTACAAGAATAATCAGTTTAAACATTCACTTTACTACAATTTTAATAAAATATTATATTAATGAACATGCACGGTTTACTGTGTGTGCTAGGGACTATGCTACACTTTTATCTAAATTGTTTCATTTTATTTTTCACCACAATCCTATAAGATAGACAGCTTTTATATCTACTTCCATAGGTTAAAAAAAAAATTGAAGTTCAGGAGGTGAAGTAACTTAACCAAGGCCACACAACTATTAAATTGAAGATTTGTGACTCAAGGTCAGGTTTGATGGAATTGAAAGTATGCAACAATGTATGTCTTAAAATACATATAACCTACCTACTAAATATGCTTTAGCTGAGGTCAGAATTACATTAACAAGGAAGACTTTTAATAAAACACTTTCAATAATATATAGAGATGTTACTTCCTGTGATATAGTATGCATTATTAATATTAACCCAAATTGATTTCCCCTCCTTTTCACTTTTAATTTTGTTTTGTATTTAACTAGTAATGCAAAAACAACTCTTGAAGCTTAATTACAAATAGTTTATGCTAATTCTCAATAGAGATAAAATTTAAAGCGTAGCTCCTATCAGAATGGCTATGTGTAATACTAAAAGGAGTCATAGGAATAATGTTTATTTTTTTTATTGAACATGTGAAAAAAATCTATTTGCAGATGGAGTGTGTTTATCTGAAAAAATTCAGCTCAACCCTTTCCAAATTCAAAAAAGAGCCAAATAACCAAATTTAGGAGATCCCTATCGAATACATATGGGCACTGCTGTTTTTACCTGCTCTAAGCAAGATCTTAAAAGCTTTTAAATGGGTTCATTACCCAGACATAATTCCACATCTCAAATGCAAATAGCTCCTGATAAATAGTTCTTGCAGGGAATTCCACCAACATGGCTATTAACTGTATTAAAGGAACACAAGGGAAGGGACAGTAGCTCTGCAGTTAGAATTATTTCCTAGTGGGACAGATGCTGCATGAGTGGGTACTAGTATATCCATACAGGTGTTACAAAGATTTATAAACAAATTTTTACAATCTAGGCAGCCAATATGATTTTGTTCTATTTACAACAGAAGCAAGGTTACAGTTCAAATACTAGAATTTATTTTTCCATTCCTTTATCAAACTTGTGTGTAATTAGCAGTGTCCAACGTTGTTAGTTATAGGTACTGGCTCAGATTCCTTATTGCCCAACATTACTCTCCAGAAGTACTTGAAAACCATCATGTTGTTCTCCTGGCAAATAAATACACAAATAAAACTATCACACTATTGAACTTGGGATCAATTCTTTTTGTGGAGTTTCTTGTAAGTATGTACAGTATACCAGAATATTAGACTTCGTATCAGGGACTGAAAAAGTGAGCTGAGCAAAATAAATTTACTGAATAAATACACTAAATCATCGGTCAAGAATGGTTGACTTACAATTCACTGGCTACCTTTATCACCAACCACATAGAACAACAACAACAACAATAACAACAAATAGCATTTTCATTTTGAATAGAATGGCCAGTGATTTTTCCCAAAGTCTGCATAGTCTTTAAGTTAAAAAAGAATATGTTTCTCTAAGGAAAGGAACTGTTTCTGCCTCATAGTAACCTGCCTTGGTAGGTGAAAACTCTTTTTAGATTTCCCACTCCATGCATGATGCTGTATTAATTACTGACTATGCAGCAGCAAATTGTTAATGGTTCTTCTCTTCTTGCAGGGAGGAAAATATATTAAACATCTAATTATACAATCTATTATTTTAATTAGAGTTAAGGAAAGTTCCAGAGGCCGTAAGAACATATGGTAAAGAGGTGGAATCAGTCTTCTGTAGGTGAGAGGGCTCTGCTGCAGAAGTGACTCAGATAGGTATCAGAGAGAGAAGAGCATCCTGTGGGGGAGGAATGGCATGGTCAAGGCCTTGCAGTAAGAAGGTGGATTAGAGGAACTTAAAGAAAGTTGGGTATGGCTAAAATGCAGAGACAGAATGTGTGTGTGTGTGTGTGTGTGTGTGTGTGTGTGTGTGTGTGTGTGTGTTATAGCTATCTATAATAAAAGATGAATTAATTTTCAGAGAAGTTGGATTCTAAATCTGGCATGACCCAGAATTACATAATATTTAGACACTTACTAGCATCATTTCTCTAGAATTATCGCTAAATTCTAAGATACATTTTAAAATGTTACCAGAGCATAGTTACTAGTCCTTTTAAAGTTAAAATTTAAGAGAGTTTAATAATTTTCCAAGTACAACCTTTTTATTTCTTTGGTTAAATTTATTCCTAGACATTTACATTTTTTATGCAATTGCAAATGGGGTTGATTTCATATTTTCCCTTTCTGATAGTTCATTATTGGTGTATTTTACAAAAGATAGCCTGGCTGGTGTTGCGATATGGTTAGAGAATCAGATCATGAGGTTGATTCCCAGTCAGTGGCACATATCTGGGTTGAGGCTTGCTCCCCACCCCCAGTCAGGGATGTGCGGGAGGCAACCAGTTTATGTGTTTCTCTCACATCGATGTTTCTCTCTCTCTCTCCCCGCTCTCTCCCTCCTTTCCACTCTCTCTGAAAAGCAGTAAAAAATATTCTCAGGTGAGCATTAATAACAACAACGAAAAAGATAGTTTAAGCACTGACTGGGACAAACGGCTAATTAATTCTATTACTACAGGGTACAACAGTGTTTTAGTTTGGTAGCAAGTGCCATTTTTACTTACTAGTAACTTCTGAGCAGGGTTCACCACGTGACAAGTTAGGTTTTGGTTTCAATGGCTTTGCAGGTACAACCCCTGTATGGAACTGTGACATGAACTCTTGAAACTGACTAGAGGAGAATGGCAGCAAAGCATTTCCTATGTTTCCAAAAGCATGAAAACATCGGACTGATTTGGGTGTGGCTGCTTGCTCACCCTGGACTATGTAAGTTCCCTCTTTCATCGGAAGACTGGCCTTTTACAATTAAAAACAGAGAAGGACATGGGGTATTCCTTCTGATGACAAAGAGGAAGGATCAATACAAAATGGTTGATGCTCAAAAAAAAAAAAAAAAAAAAAAGGAAAAAAGAAATACGGTCTCAGAAGTGCTTCTTTCTGTCCAAACCCAGCAATACAATAAAAATGAGGCATTTGAGCTGAGCAACATTGTCATCTCCATGGAGTCTGTAATGAATTTTCACATTTTACTCCAACTACTGTATATCTAATCGGAAAAAGATGTCCCCCAGTCCCTGATCCAGTGCCAAACAGTAAAAGGTGATTCCTTATGTTAACAATTTCAGCAGAATGGCTTATTAAAACCAGATTTTAGGGTATTATAAAATGCTTAGAAACCCTTTAAAATGTCAACTAGGATCCCCAGAGACTACGTAAAATGTCAACCCAGCTCAAGCGCCTGTTTTAAGCAGAATGAATTAGCGGCATGCTGTCGGAGGCTGTTATCCAAAACAATCAATAAAAAGGAAAACATCAAGCTTTCTTTGTACTTTTATATGAAATGGGCCATTCAGAATAATCTTGTGGATATTTAAAGATCACTTATTTATTTGGAATTATGACTAAATATTGAGGTCCCAAACACTTCAGTATTTCTTTTTCCTGTTGTATCTTCAATTAAAACAATTCTCAATTTAGTCTGAAATTAGGTAGCACTCTCTTTCAAGGAATCTGTTATAATATATTCATGTGGTTATTGTAATAGTCTTTCCTTTTAACCAGAAAGGAATTCTTTTAGCTAGTCATCTTTTTCCCAAAAAAGCTTTTGCTAAAATTTCCTAAAGTATTTTACATCAAAACTGATATTTCTCTTATACTTAAGATAAAATTTTAATCAGTGATTATCACCTTTTTTAGTATTCAGACATATGAGTTGATGGATATAAAAGCAATTTAAACAATCTTAGTATTTAGTTGGTTTTACTTTTACAGTTTGGAATTTCTATTTTGAAAATGACTGATAGATTAAAATATATAATATGGTTCCATAAAGCATTTTATTCTTTTCTAGTTTTTCTAAATAAAACAGGCATAGTTTTTTTAAAGAATGAAAAATTCCATGTGGAAGGTAGAAGATAATCATAAAAAGGAAAAATAGATCAGAGATGGTAAGAGATGCAAAAAAGTGTGCATTTCCTTTTGATCAGTCTCTCTCTCTCTCTCTCTCTCTCTCTCTCTCTCTCTCTCTCCTCTCTCTTTTCGTTAATCCTCTCTCCCTCCCTCTCTCTCTCTCTCTCTCTCTCTCTCTCTCTCTCTCTCTCTCTCTCTCTCTCTCTCCTCTCTCTTTTCGTTAATCCTCGCCTTTTCCACTCAATCACCCAAATCCCTCCCCTTAGAGGAAAACAATTTCTTTCATATGAGTCAATTTTTTGCTTCTTTTGCTTATAGGATTTAAGTGTTGGCCAAAGTTCACATATAAATATAAATAGGTTAATAAAGCAAACAAGAGAAGAGGAGGAAAAAAAAAAACACATTAAAATATCAAAATGATTATTAATACCCCATAAAAAAGAAAGTATTTCCTAGTCTTAGTACAAATATTTCTAGATTTTTGAAGAAGAGATGATATTACAATTAATACATAGACACATAACTAAATTAGGTATAGTAATGGGGCACATATCTCAACAAACATGGGCTATTACACCATCAGAAGAAAAAGCTCAATAATGATACTTATTTTCAGACTAGAGGCCTGGTGCATGAAATGCATGCATGGTGTGGTCCCTAGGCCTCACCAGTCATCAGGGAGGAACAATCAGGTTTCTTGCCTTCTGGCCTCCTGGCCTCCTCCTTCCCTCCCCACATGCCCCCTGGTGGTCAGCACACATCATAGCAAGCAATCGGACTCCTGGTCTCCTGGTTGAACTCCTGAGGGGACAATTTGCATATTAGCCTTTTATTATATAGGATAAACAGATAACATGAGCTAGCTGGACTCTAAACCCCGTATCTTTCAACAAGACTAGAAGACAGAAGTGTACAATTAATCTATACATCACTTAAACTTTAATTATTTTCTTACCCAATATCTTGCTGATGTTGGAGTTGTGCATGTCAGGAAAAGCTTGAAGGATTTTCCTTCGTTCATCTTTAGCCCACACCATGAAGGCATTCATTGGACGCTTTATGTGGGGTTCATTGCTACCACGCCCTCTAGATTCTCTATAAATCCTTGATTCTGAGACTCCAGCACTTCCTAAAAATAGGACACATTGTTTCTCGTTAGTGTTAAAACTTTTGATATTTCTGTTCCTTGCATTACTGTTTTTTAGACTATTAAAATAACTGAAAATAAAAAGTACATGTGATAATGGTACTTCTAGTTCTTAAGACAGATGCTTGTTTATGAAGTTTTTGTGATTAGCCTTGTGGTGGCAAATGCTGTATTTGTGTTTTTAATCCATTTGTAATATATTTCCCTTTCTTACAATGGTGGGTTATTTCACCATTTACTTTTGAGAGCCCACAAGAAACTTGAATATATGATCTTCGATGTAAACTGGATAGCGAATAGTTGAATTGGGTCAATAGACATACGATTACTATAGAAATATTAGGGGAAGAAGATAAAAAATTGTGAAACAATAATATGTTCAACAGATTGGATGGGTACAGGCAAGTATGTGTCTCTGCTACCTAAGGACTACCAGAACACAGAGTATCCATGCTCCTTTCCTCTCTCTGAGGTTATATAAATAAAAATGCTGCTAGGTCCAATTTTGAGGTTAAACTACAATATAGACATTCTCCTAGAATGTTTTTGGCTTTTCTTTGAAACTATGTGCTAATAATAAGTGCATAAAGTATTCTGATGCAGCAATGATAGTCTGCTTCCCAAAAGATATTTGCAAAATACAGGAAAAAAAAGACAAATAGCTACATTACTATGGTTTCTTACCAAGTCAACAGCCACCTATTTAAGGTGAAAAAAAATCCTTCTCTTTTATTTTCCCCCTAATGTCTACCTAAGTTATCCAGAGACCCACTGAAAGGTACATTCCAACAAGCAAGACTCATGATGATAAAACACGACCAAGAGTCACAGTGGAACCTTAGGGAGCTGCCATTACTCCTCTAGGCTTTATGGGACTTTGTAGAATAGCTTCAGCAGGTTAAAGAGCTTCCAGAGGTTCCTGAGTTTAGGCAAAAAGGTAAAAGAAAAAGGAGAGAGAGAGAGAGAGAGAGAGAGAGAGAGAGAGAGAGAGAGAGAGAGAGAGAGAGAGAGAGAGAGAGAGATACTGAACACATGGAACTGTGACACTAAGTTTTCCAGGGCTATCCTTACAAAATATGGAAGAGAGATAGATTGGCAGCATACAAAATTTTAAAATAATTTGAGATTTTTAGAGCATATAGTACTGATAAAGCATTTTCCCCCCTTCTCCATCACATTCTTCCTTTCTTTTCTTAATTTGAAGAAATAGGAGCCAACCAAAATTGCATACACTTGAAGACCTCTATTGCACCACACTGAAAACAAAATGAAGCAAAACAAAAAAACAGCATATCATCATTTCTCATTCATTATATGCTCTTTGGTCTCCTGAAAATTGGAAAGTACTTTGTGTACAAGCATGACTGAAGTCAACAAACAACAGTAACAAAATTTTGATGTTTGAATGCCATTACCTTGCATGTATTTTATCATGCTAACGCAACTTAAAATTTATGAAATGTGGTATGCCAGTAATTGTTTTTTTATTGACAAAAATGAGTGCTAATATATGGCAACATCTTTCTAAAGTGAGTCTGTAACTAGCAAATGATCATTGGCACATCTGCTTTTCCCGGTTCTTACACCTTACAGCAACATAAGCAGTAAAGTGAATGTTATGGGACTTCATCAGAGCTAAACAAGCTCTTTGCATGTACTTAGGTCAGGTTTATCTTATCCCAGCAAAGTAGAAATAGAAGGAAATGTTTGGATACAATAGACCAGTAAAACACAGACTTTTCTTAGATATCCAATAGAATAAAATTCAGATTTGACATAATTATCTGGTTAAATGTTCAAGTTTGGCTAGTCCCTGGGCCAGTGAATAGGACTTAAAAGCAGAATTGGCCCAAGGCACACATCAGCACTTGTGTATTTTGGAAGATCCAAGTGAGCTCCTCTGTGCTAAAGTATGGTTTGCCTTGGTGCGGATTTTTTTATATGCGAGCAACTTCCTCTGCAACAAATCATAAATGTGAGGACAGTGCTCTTCCAATGCACACATGTCACCTGACACTGGAGAGACCTTTCTAGTTGGGGCTCAGGGTAAGAGGAATAGCAGCACTTTCTTCTTTTCCTCTCTTTGCTGTGCTATTAAAATTGGAGCATATAAGCCTAACTAGTGGTCATGGACAACAGGGGAGAGTGGGGGCATATGTGGGGAGGGGTTTGGGATGAAAATAGGGGGATGAGTACAATTATGTGATACCATAACCAATAAAAAAATTAAAAAAAAATTAAATAAAATTGGAGCATCAGTTTAATTACTTGTCATTGTGGATGTTTAGAATATTCACAGAAGATGCAAGCAATAGAATCTCAAGGCATGTGAGGAAGGCAAGAGGCTGGTAGCTGGAGTTGTGCTTCGGTCACAGGGTAGGCAGGACATGTCAATGTATGGTAGACAGTGGGAGAGGGAAAGGTTAAAAAATGCAAGAAACCGTCATAAAAATGGCCTCTGGACCATGTGTTCTGGGCCAGGGGTTGACAAATAAAAACTGGAAAATGAGCTCATAGATGCAAATTTTTGAAACGTTTGTTTCAGGTACAAGAAATAAGGAAGCGAGAGTCAGGGTAGATGGCGATTAAGAATATTTGCTTGGAATCACTTCATCTTGAATCCAAGACCTGTCTCTGGCACTTACAGTTCTGTAACCTTGGGGAAGAATGATTCAACATTCCTAAGGGCCAATCTCTTTATCTGTAATCACACTCATCTCACAGGCTGTCCCAGGGATTAATGAGATGATCAATGCAAAGTTTCAGCTGAGTGCTTGGCACATGGGGACTGCTCAGTACACACGAGCTCCTACTGTAATGGTATATTTTTTTTAGTAGTTGTAATTGTACTAAATGGACACTTCTGCCCACTACTGGAATACATAGCAAATCTTTACAAACCATCTGAATCTCCACTCATATTAAAATCCATCATGGCATGGCTAAATTTTCCTTCTTCATTCTGTTTAACTGCCAATTGCTGAGTCAGACTCTCCAGTGTTGTTTTTTCCTAAAAAAACAAAAAAGATAAAAAAAAAATATATATAGTGAGAGTTCAGTCTGGAAATGATCATTATTCAAAGACATTTTTTTCCTTGGGTCATATTGGCTTTTGGAAGGGATGAGATGTTGATTTAATCACCTTTGTACATTCAGCACATTATGGAGTTGAAGCAAATGATCAGCAGGATTTTTGAAGGAATTCTTCTTATTCTTAAAATTTAGACTTGTTATGCTCAGAAAATAAATTCTGGGATTCTTGGAGATAACCTTCCAAAATCACAACAAGTACATAGACATTTCCTGAAAGCAACTTGTTTTGTAACATTTGAAATGCCTGCCTTATTTTTAGACAGACAGTAGAAGTATAGAAGTGGCATGGGACCCAGAGACAGTCTTCCAGTAGTCAGGTGACCAGCTGATAGAAGCATAATTCACAGTAGTGCCCTCTGGTTGCCATCTCCTTAAGTGCCATCTGCATTCCTCATGCAAGAGGAATGAGGACTTTAAATATTCATTGCTAATTGCTTGTCAAGGCTCCATACATTCAATGTGAGTGCCTGCTACTTGGACCACAATTTGGTGTGGCTTGCTAAGCCAAAATATTGAGCTGGAGAATTATTTGAGCTACAAATATACCAAAATTAGATCTGTAAGGAAATCAAATAATTTAAAAGCATGCAGTGCATGATTTGAATTCATGGAGAACATGCCATTACAAACAAAATTATTTTCAAGGAAAATATAATGCTTAATCTAAATCACAAGAGATATTAAACCACTTCCAAATTAACTAAGTGAGTTTAAGAACAGAAAAAGCATACAGCAAAAGGTTTACAACTTTCTCTAGCACTCCCCATCACTGCTCTGAGGACAATGTGGTTCCAAAACAGTTTTAAGAAAAGCATCTGCTGGATTTCATAAAATTTGCTCATGTTTCTTTATAATTATTCACCTTGTTTTCTGAGAAACACAAACATGAATTGAACAAGTGAACCACACGCGCTGCAGAACAGCTATTGAAAACGTAAATCTTCACAGGAAATAAATCAACTATTTAAGATAATTGTTTTACAGGTAAAGGACCCAAGTAATGTTCCTAGTAAGAGACAAAATAATACAGTACATGCTTTATCTCCATATAATCTCTGACAGTATTACAGTTGTATACACTAGATTAAAATTCTCTTAATTTGGTGGGCTTGGAACTTGTATTTTCTATTTGTCAAATTCTGTATATGATTTAGTAGAAAAACTATTTTGAATTAAAATTTATTATAAAACTAAAGATCGGTGCATGGAATCTGTGCACTGGTGGGAGGTCCCCTCAGCCTGGCCTGTGCACTCTCACATTTTGGGACCCCTCAGGGGATGTAGCTGTGTGCCAGGCGGCAGGCGGATGCTGCTCTCACTCACCCCAGCCTGTTGTGTCTGCTGCCATGGAGTCAGGAGAGGCTCCCAACATGGCAGCGGCACTCACCAGCCATGAGCCCAGCTTCTGGCTGAGCGGCGCTTCCCCTGTGGGAGCACACTGACCACCAGGGAGCAGCTCCTACAATTGAGCATCTGCCCCCCATGGTCAGTACATGTCATAGCAACTGGTCATTCCAGTCATTCTCTCCTAATGGTCACTTAGACTTTTATATAGAGAGATTGTACTTTGATTGGTTGATTGGTCAACGGGTTGACTGGACATTTAGCATATTAGCCTTTTATTATATAGGTTACAGTAGGGAAACTGGGAATAAAATAATTCTATCAACTTTAGTTCTATAGGATTATCTAGTGCTAACACTGAAATACATTACCAACTTAAAAATGTAGATCCTCATCCAATTTGTTTTGTGTGTATAGTTGGTGTTTCAATTGCTTGTTCTGGATTTCTTTTGAGGAGTCTGCTTGCTGTTTATGTTCAGTTGAGCTCAGGAGCACCAAGGATAACAGCTTGACAGACTCTCATAATAGTAAGTGTAGTTGTTAAAAGTACAGGATAGGCCGAAACCGGTTTGGCTCAATGAATAGAGCGTCGGCTTGAGGACTGAAGGGACCCAGGTTCGATTCCAGTCAAGGGCATGTACCTTGGTTGCAGGCACATCCCCAGTAGGGGGTGTGCAAGAGGCAGCTGATCGATGACTCTCTGTCACGGATGTTTCTAGCTCTCTATCTCTCTCCCTTCCTCTCTGTACAAAATAAATAAAATATATTTAAATAAAAAAGAAAGTACAGGATAGTTATGTAAAACACAACACCACCTTCCATCAACATGATCCCCAGGTCCATGAAGACTACTGTACTATCTTTGGGTATATACTAGGCCTGGATCACCTCTTAGGTTTTGATTTAACAGTTTATATGACAATTGTGCTACATAATTTATTTATTTTTAAAAATATTTTATTGATTTTAGAGAAGAAGGAAGAGGAAGAAAGATAATAGAACCATCAATGATGAGAGAGTTATTGATCAGCTGCCTCCTGAATGCCTCCTACTTAGGATCAAACCTGTAAACTGGGCATGTGCTCTGACCAGGAATTAAAATGTGACTTCCTGGTTCATAGGTCAATGCTTAATCACTGAACCATACTGGTTGGGCTGCTACATATTTTCCAGAGAGTTTTCCATTCTGAAGTAAAGTCTTTCAAGAAGAGAAACCAAAATAAAGCTGATCAGAGTAGGAAAAAAGTGAAATGTTAAGTGACTTTTAAGGTTCTAAGTTCAACTGATGGATCTTATATTATCTTACCAAGAGGCTAAAATTATTAGCAAATGATGAGTGAATAGGAAAGACAATCAGTTTTTATAGTAAGTAACTTCTAATTATCTCTAAAGCACATAGTATATATAAAAAATTACTTAATTAGTTACCCATAAGTGGAATTTATAATACTTCTCAAGAAGATATCAGTGGGAGATAGTAGAAGTTAACACGGTAGGATCCATTTTTTTGTGACCCTTTGCCCAGTCATTGACAGTTGATTGGAGGAATTGGAGAATGTGTTGAGTACCTTTAATTAAAATATCTTACAAAATCAAAATGGTAACATTGCCACATTTTAGAAACCCTCTCTAACAATAAATTCAGAAGACCTTAAAAGAACTGAGGTAAGGAAGATATAATAAAACACAAGTGATTATATGGTAAATATATGGTATATACAAATATAGTGCTTATATGATGGTTATTATGTGATTCCATATAAAAATTAATACTGTAGTAAAAGTTTATATTGAGCCCTTATGTATAAAGACAGACATAAATGTACATGTGGCTAGAAGTCTAGATAATATATTGAACCACCAAAAAAATGAGATTGATTTAATAATAGTTCTCAGTTTAAATTTAATCAATTTAGGCATGTAGGAAAATAAAATATCAGCCAAATGTTATAAAGCATATATGCTAATACATTGGGAAGATTCCTCTTATTGTACTTCTTCCAATCCTACACTACCCGAGCTGTCTTTTTCAGAAGAGCCTACTATGTACTATTATATCTCAACCATTTGAGATTCTGTTCCTAGGGTTAAATAGTTTTCATTCCAAAATCCTCTATTCAAGTGTGCATATATTCCTGAAATGGTAATATTTCTAGTCTCAAAGTTCTTATATCAAATCAATTCTTTCTAAACTGAAGCAGCTGAAAACAAATGAGTGCAGTATATATTAGGTAAGAAGGGAGTAAATAGGAAGATGTTGAGAATGGGAACCACAGAAGAAATTGAGTTTGGGGAAACAGAAAGAAATGTTGATGGATTGAGGTGACAATTTTTATCATATTCATTTTCTTAGTTCCAACAGGCTCCAATAAAAACACACTAATCAATAATTTGTACAAATAAGGAGCACTCCATGCCCCACTTTTAGGTCAGTGTTGTGGAACACAGATCTAGTTATACTTTACTGCTTTCTTACTACTATCCAAGCACTGACCTGAAACTGACAAGGTAGCTTCTCTCTTCATCTTTCCCCCCCTATTAGTTATATAACAAATATCAAAGAAAAACAAACACATATCCTATACAATAAATGCCTATTATGCAAATCAACCAAACTGCAGAATGACCAGTAGACCGACAGGTTGCTATGATGTGTACTGAGCTTCCCCCAACCACAGGCCCCAGGCTAGCCAAGTCAGGTGCCAGCAGTGGCCTCCTGATCATCCCGCTCATCACCCTGCAGAGGGAGGCAACAGACAGGGACTGCAGGGGGTAGGGCTGGCAAGCAGGTGGTGCTAGGCTGGCCAGGGCAGGTGCCAGTGAATGGGTCCCCCATCACCCTGCTGGTTGTCCCTTAGAATGAACCTAATCACCAGGCAGGGCAGGCCTAGAGACCCCACCCATGCATGAATTTTGTGCACTGAGCCTTTAGTAAAAAATACTTGCTAAAATTCTACACTGCACTGAGTAATTTCAGAGTAGAGGGTGCAAAGCAGACTTATTACTAAAAAGTAGTAAAAATGAAATTGTCTTGAGGATTTATAAATTAAGACCAAAGAAGATGACCTGTATGCTTTCTCTCTTGAATAAAAATGAGCAATTGGATAACGACTAGATTTCCTTTGGAAAGATGATTCTTAGATGGCCAATTAAATTTTATACAACTATGTAGGTTTACTAAGGTGGAAAACATTAGGTAAATTTTGATTTTACTTGAAAAAACTTATAATCCTATGACGTATCTTATCTACAGAAGAAAATAAAAGTTTTGACTATATAGCTTCTTGGGGTCAAATGAATAACTTTAAAAGTCAACACTCAAAGAACTATTATCAATGTGTTAATATTCACTTAGGAAATCTGGGGCCTGTCTTTGGTTCTGTGGCTTGTCCAATGATTTGCAGAATGGAAAACAGCACTTGTATTGTTTGCATGTGACACAGGCATTGTTGGAAATCAACAAGGCGAGCCATTAAACATCTAAAGAAATGTGGTCAGTGAGTTGATTAGAAGTGGATAGTGAAGATCTATATTTCTAAGCTAAGAATGTTCTGAATGGCAAAAGGCCTCAGG